TACGGGCCAGTCAGATGGAGACATGGATAACCACTCCGGACCACTCCACCAGAGCAAGTGGTCTTTGATGTCAACTGGATTAACGCCACGGGAGAGAGGATCAGCTGGGTTGGATACTCCGGAAACGTGTTTCCAGTGACAGGATTCAGTGGTTTCCTGGATCTTGGCTACCCGATTTCCGACGAACGTTTTCCATCTGGATGGCGATGACTCCAACCAATGCAGGACAGTGGACGAATCAGTCCAGAAGAAAACTTCAGCGGGCCTTTGTATGGAATGTACGACCTTCTCGTATAGGTTCGACGACAACACTGCTGCGCACAACTCCAAACGTGCGATAGTGTGCGATTTGGCCAACGGAGTCACCTTGGACTTGGACGTCAACAGCTGGACTCTAACGGCTCCGGCAGACTCTGACCGTACGTAGCAGCACGATCCATACGCCTTCAACGATGCATCGGAGAAGAAGTGGAACTGGAATGATGTTGTGTTGGCCAACGATACACAGCGAGGAATCCGGAGTGTGGCGATTGTATCGAGCGTTCCATGGAATTCCTTCCACTCGGACTGGAGATGTGGAGGAAGAGGACGATCCCACTCATAAGAATCTCCTGTTTCGGTTTTCAGCGCCCATAAGCGCTGCATGAACAGCTTAGCGATGACTATTATTGGTCCCACCAGGCCAAGTGGGTCGAAAATCTGCGCAACGTAGGACATAACTTTCCGTTTAGTCAAAACGGGTGCTGGTAATGGCAGCTGAACCTTGAAGCTCATCATGTCGGATCTCGGTTCCCAGATGAGTCCGAGAGTGGAAACGGATTGGTCGTCTTGCAGGTCATGGTACGGCGCGAATGCTAGATCTTCTTCAGGAATATCGGCTAGAACTTCAGGCGAGTTTGAAGCCCACTTCTTCAGCGGAAAACCAGCCGCTGAAAGCATGGCGGACATTTCTTGGCGTAGGTGGATAGCGGATTCAACATCGTCGGCACCAGACAGGAAATCATCCACATAGAAATCCTTCTGGGCTACCGCGGCTGCGGCTGGATACATCTCGGCTGCGTCTTGCGCGATCTGCAGAATGGTGCGAGTTGCCAGGAACGGAGAGGATGCAAAACCATACGTTACGGTTTGCAGTTCGTACGTAGCGATTGGTAGGTCTGGACTGGGACGCCAGAGGATGAGTTGGTATCGGCGGAACAGATGATGCAGCAGGATTTGCCGATACATTTTCTCCACATCGGCTACGAATGCGATTTGGTGGATGCGGAATCTGATGTGGATCGACAGTAGGTCTTCCTGAACGACGGGTCCAACCAGTTGCAGGTCGTTCACGGAGAATCCAGATGACGTCTTGCACGACGCGTCGAACACGACTCGAACTTTCGTGGTGGTGCTGGATTCTTTGAATACCGGATGGTGTGGAAGGTAGCAGTGTGGCTGGCTTTCGTCTACTGGATCTAGGAGTTTCACCATGTGATTCAGGCGTTCGTATTCTTCCATGAAGCGACAGTAGGCCTCTTTGGTGGTTGGATCTCGCTCAAGTCGTTTTTCGAGGTTCAGGAAACGGCGCTCGGCGATAGAACGTGATTCACCGATAGTGACGAGCGGATCGCGGGTGAGTGGCAAGGAAACGATATAACGACCCGACGAATCGCGAGTGGTGGTAGTGGCATACAGTTCTTCACAGAGATTTTCTTCTGCCGTAAACTTGGAACAGGTTTCAACGGCTTCTAACTCCCAGAACTTCTGGAGGGCTTGTTCCAGATTACGGTCCACAGTGGTGAGGTGACAAACACGGGGAACTTCAGGTGATTGGATGGATACCTTTCCGGAAACAGTCCATCCGAAAGAGGTCTCGACGAATACAGGCTGCCCTTCGCCGAAAGAAATCTTACCGCCAGTGTGCAGTTCGTGGTACACTTCTCCACCGACAATCAGGTCAATGCCGGCTGGAATGTGGAAGCTTGGATCAGCTAGCGGGACATCAGGAAACTTCCACGGGGAAACATCAATCGACATGGTTGGCAGGCAGACTGTGGGTTTCTTGAGGATGAGAAACTCGAGCGTAGTACTGTACGAAAGTAGCTTGGATCTAATTGTAGCAGTCAACTTGCGCTTGATCTGCTTCGACGTTTCACCGATTCCAGACACGGCGATGTCTACTTTCGTACGACGGAGGTTGAGTGTGTTCGCAAGCTTCTTCGTGATGAAGCTGCTCATCGATCCTGAATCTAGGAGTGCACGAGCGGAATGCTCCTTCCCATTCTGGTCCACAACTAAGAGGTTAACCGTTTCCAACAGACAGCTCACTAGGGGGTTCGGATTCACTGATCCGGGGTTTTCGACGGCAGTCGACGTGGATGGATTCGGTTGTTGGGATGGCTGACCAGATATAGCTACTGGAGTGGATTGTATCTTCGTGGTTGAAGTTTCGTGCAGCAGGGTATGGTGTTTCTGGTGACAGTTTCGGCAATTGTACTTGGATGTACAATTCCTGCTTTGGTGTCCAGAGCGGAAGCAATTCCAGCATAGGCGCTTCTGGGATACCAGCTCTCGTCGCTGGCGAACGGACATCTTGGAAAATGCTGGACATTGGAATAGGAAGTGGTTCTCTGGACAGGCTATACAGTACGGAGCGGAGTTCTTGGATTCGGTCGTGGCGGAATTGGATACCATCTTAAATGGCTTCTTCTGGATTGGATTGGAACCGGCCACCTTGGCTTGGCCGGGTTGATTGGAACGATGCTGCAGATCGGTGACGACGGACTTCAACATTCGAACCCTTTGGTACAGGAAATCAACTAACTGGTCGTAGGTGACATCATCACTGCTACTGGTCTTCTCCTCCCAGGCTCGGAGGGTCGTAGGATCCAGTTTGTAGCATAGCAGGTTGATCAACGGGGTGTCCCAGTGGACTACAGGTTCGTTCAGCTTCGCTAAGGCCTTGACATGCCGTTGGTAGTCATCAATCAGGTCGTGCAGCTCTTGGGGTGACTCTTTCTTCAGCGGCGAGAGGTCATACAGGGCTCGGAACAGTTGACGCTTCAGATACCGCTTATTATCGTAGCGTTTCAGAAGAGCGTCCCAAGTTAACGCATAATTATCCGCGATTATGTCGATCGACTCGAATGGCTTGTGAGCTTCTCCTTCCAGGGACTGCAGAAGGTACTGCAGCTTCGCGACAGTCGGAATGTCCGCGTTGGAATGGACCATGGAGGTGAACGTATCCCGGAAGGAAAGCCATCTGGAAAAGTCTCCATCGAATTTAGGGAGATCGACCTTGGGCAACCGTAGGTGGAAACTGGATGAAACTGGGTGATGATTGGCCGTCACTGAAGTATTCAACACTGTCTGGTTGGGATCTGTCGAACGCTTCATCAGCAGAAATCCTTTGGCCGTGCAGAATCTCGCTTCGAACGCTGCTCGCTCTTGCAGATGCTCCTCAAACTTCTCAGCGTCATCGTACTTCTCAATCTCCGCTTGCAGCTCCTGGAACTCACTGTAGACACGGTCTAATGCTTCAAGACGGATCGGAATCTGGTACACATCGTTCTCGTTGTCATACTTCTTGATGAACGCCTCAACGGAATCACGAACGACGAGTAGTGCCTTCCGCTTCATCAGGCATTCGGCCAACTTCTTCTCTGGTCTGGACATCCTGATTCACTGCAAAATCACCACTTCACTACCACCACAGTTCGGAAAACGCGGAAACGAAAAAGGAAAATCGGTACGTAAATCGGTTAACGGACTCCTTCCCGGCGCGTCGTACCGTTTTCTACACGACGCGAGATCGGAAAAATGACACAAATCGTACGTGTTAATCCTTCCCGTCGCGGTGTGCCACTTTCTACACGGACGAAATACCCGAGGATGGTACGCAAATCGAACGTAAAAACTCCTTCCCGACACGGGCGTACCACCCACGCGACTCAACTTGCCACCCACCACCACCAAATACACACATGCAAAATGAAAAACCAAATCAATTTGCAAAAATTCTAGGATTTCCAATCCAATCTTTATTTTCTTTGGAATCTCTCCAGTCGAACACACCGTTGCTTCGCCAAAGCAAACGGGTCAAAAAAACTGCCTACTGTGTGGAGGCCTTTATTCGATTTGCACTATTCAAATGGCATCAAATAGCTTGGCTTTGGTCAGCCGTACAAAGCTATTGACCTCAACTACAGGTCGAACAATTGCCAGCGCATGGAAGAAACGAAATGGTGTACTCACCGCACCTGCCCTTCTGGTCGGGGGAACCTTCGATCCGGCTCGAAGGACCAAATGATGGGGCTTACCCGTTCCTTTTCGAAGGATTTTCCACCGTCTATCAATCGACGGCCCAGAAGATTGGTATGATGAATTCACCGGGGGGACTAGTCCCAGTGTTTGCAATTTTCTCCACCTTGCTCGGACACTTTGTAATACAAACTGCTCCTGATGCACCTTTTCACTATGCACACAACGCGCGATTCGGAGATTGCCTTATGCTGCTTGACCACTTAAGCTAATAGTCGTCACAGGAACACTTTCGGATCACTCAAGGAAATAGTTAATTAATTGCACTACTGGATTGGGTTTACTTTTCTCTTTAATCTACGACCGGACTACAGCAGAAAACGGGATGTATCGCTTCCGACGGTATATTTTGTACTATCCTATATTTACAATTTGTTTTATCTCCTATCTATGTACAAATGGCAAAATGACCACTACAAGTGGACGCTATCGTGTGTTGCGCATGCGCGCAGCATCCTACTCATTTCTCTCTTCATCGATTAGGGTTACTGATACATAATTTTAGAGCACTTTCAATTTATAGGATTAAGTTTTAACTATAAGTTTAGCTGTAGGATTTAGTTAGTTCATTTAGGTTAAGTAGATTTCAGTTCATTTAGGATTAATTTAGTTTAAGTTTAGTTCAACATCCATCATAGTTCGAAGACAGACAGCATCTCCCCTTCCAGCGTTCCCACACCCCAGTATAGTCCCCAAATTTAAGTGTAACTGTGATATTCTGGAAAGAAATTGTCTTCAAAACTAACTCTTTGTCGAATTATTGGTGGCCCTGGGGCACATGCGCTAACCACAGGGAACTGTACTCTCCTGCACTTGACGCCACCGTTGAGGTTGATGTTCGCCGATCGCATCACGATAGGGGTCCATTCATGCTTCAAAACGGTAGGCTTCATGGCAACCAACGGTCTGGCCTTCACCCTCAGAATCTTTCCGAAGGATTCGTTCTCGAACATCATCCAGAGTCTTGAGATAGATTGCTGGGGATCATCCTCCTTATGCTCGACGAACATAAGCTCCACGATCGCGCCATTCACGATGCCATCCTCGACGTCAACATTGGTGGTCAACATATACGGAGCTCCCAGTGCAAGCCGCAGTAGGTATGGTAGGCCCCCAGTCTCCACAGTACTCATCTTATGCATTTTCGTGCGAGCACCAGCCAGCTGCGAGTTGTCTTTGTAGCCCGAGTAGACGTCATCAGCCGTACAATCAACTGCATCGCGATCAACCAACGCTTCAGAATTGTACCGTTCCACATCGATGTTCCGGTGAAACAGTCGGATCGCACGGGGTACATTCTGCTGACACCACTCAGCTGTGCGAAATCTGCTCTCAATGAGCTTAATCTCATCCGGTGACAATCGTTCTCCGTTACCGATTTTGGTTAGGATGGATGAAAACTCTTCGTTGGTTTGGCGCATAACCTGAACCAGCGGATAAAAATCAAGCGACTGCCACAACACCGCATCAATAATAGAGTTGGCACAAGGTTTGAACACTGGTCGAGCGTGTTGCATTCCGCCGAACGGAACATCATGGTTCGAGGTGATCTGCTGAAGCCGGATGTTGATGGTGTTGAGCACATCGGCACCAAGCATGCTGACCTCGTCGATGATGATCATTTTGACGTTCGCAAATGCATTACGGTACAACTGCAACACTTCAAAGCTCAGGCTATTGCTCTGCCTACGAGCCATGGTAATTTTGAACGCCGAATGCACTGTGGTTCCACCGATGGCAACTGCTGCCTTCCCAGTAGAGGCACATGCAACGTAGGCATTGTTCTGCCTGTTGTGCGCCTGACTGAACCGATTGACAGTTTCCATCAGAATCTTCTGATTACCACAGCATGCCGGGCCAGTGAAGAATATATGTACGGGCTTTCTGTTGCCATCGAAACTGTGCAAGTTGTCGATAATTTGCAAAACCAAACCACGTTGCTCTGCGTTTGTAGCGCGCACCATCTCGCAGTAGGCCTGCTTCGGCATAACGTTCGAACGCTGTTTGACGACTGCAGCAAAGGGTCCAGTAGGCAGGGTATGGATGTCGTCATCATTGGGTTCCATATTGATGGTGCGAACGAACTCGTCGTGCTTCTTGCTGCCAACCACCTGCTGATCACCATCGTTATCAGAGATCCGAATATATTCGTTAACGATCTGCTCAAGGTTGATATCGCAGTCGTACTCTTTGCGTTTGGCGAGTATGGTGGCGCCATGTTCAACGTACAATTGCTCAAATTTGTTCCGGTCGAGCACATCGCAAACTTCATTGCGGAATGGTATGAAGAGTAGTACCATCACCCGTTTGTACTCGATCGTGTCCGTCATGTCATACGAGCACCACCGCAGCACACGAGGAAAGCCACGCAACTTGTAGGTTTTACGGCCGCTCTTCCTATCCTCCGTGTAGTGTGCGGCAAAATCCGCCAAACACACATCATCCAACCCTGCACGTGCCTCGTATCGTTGGATGATGTTGAGGGTCCAAACGTCGATGGAATCAGGCTGAAGTCCTTCCTCGTCCATTTGTTCGGTACGCTTTCGGGACTTGATACGCTGCTGTGGCCACATATTGTCGGAATGAACTCAACCTATAAAAGTAGGAAAATTTCAACTATAATTTGAAATAATATTAGCTCAATAAAACAGTACCTTTCGGCTAGCTTCCGACATCGATTGCCGAAGCAGATACCACGCCGAACCCACCGTAGTCTTGATCTGGATGCTCTTCCTGCAGCTTAACGAGTTCACGTTGAAAGCTGCTTATGCCCTTGTTTGATTTATTTACATAATCTACGACGTAGGCAGCACACGAGAACACCTCCAATATAAACTGCAGATCCATGTTGGAGCCCAGTTTCCCAGCGATCCACGGGTTGAAAGAATTGGTCCACAATTGTGACATAGAGCGCTTCAACATGACAGTTGGTCGGCTGATCGAGGAGCGAATAACATCGAGATACCGTTCGTAGGTGCAGTTGCAGTCAACAAGGAACGCATCGAGGCTGTCGAAAACCTTGGTTTCCAAAGCTTCTCGCATTTTCGTCGCCTGTTGTTTCAACTGATCGAGTCGACCGTCACCTGCTGTGATGGGGAGCAGAATGCGGGTTTGATCCATTGGCCAGTAGGGAATATTAAACCGGCACCGCTTGTCGTTACGCTTGAAGCAGGTAAACGTGTGCTTATGAACCTTAAATTAAAAATATATCAAGACTAGTCAGTAACTAATCGTCATAGTTTAAGCAATTTAGATTTACCTGATTGCCATACGTTTCAGGCAAGTCTTCAGCATTAACGGAGCACAGCATGTCGATCAGCTCGACGGTAGCGGGCATGTTCTCAGATAACTGTTCCTGGGGATCGTTAGCCATCCAGAGGAGGATGTGAGCGTGTGGGCTGCCATGATGCTGGAACTCTATGCGTATGAAATAATCAACCACATAGTATCTTCCGAACGGGCTGTATTGACGCGAGGATAGCAGCTGAAGACATCGACGAGCTTATTGAAGTACACACAGCACGTGACTGGATCGTCACTCACCAGCGTGGCCCGTTGCAGTGCAGTTAGTTCCCGTACGGTATCTGCAACACCAGCTTCGTTGCTCGATAGCTTTTGCAGTATGGCGAGCAAATGAGGCCACCGGGTTTCGCTTGCACTCAGCGTCAGGAACATAGTTGGCTTTCCCAGCTGGCGAATCATCGCGAATACGTCCCGTTTCCTTTTTTGCCAGTACTGCACCGAGTTTGGAATGGTCTTCATGAACGACAGGTTGCGTTCGATGCAAGTCTCCAAGAATTGTCTGTCTTCTAGCTGAGCACGTGTGATGTTGGCTGTACCCATACACTTGAAGGTGTTACTCAATCCTTGAGACACACGCAACCGCATGATCTTCATCGCCATGTACAGAACATGCTCATGTTTGGCGCCGCGTCGATAGCCATCATAAATGGAGTTACCCGTACATCCGGATTGAATGCTCTACCATGGCCCAGGTAAATATCCGGAAACGACAGCTCTTCGGCAAACTCATCATATATAATGGACAGCGGCGTTCGATTTTGCCCCGGAGCTATTTCCAGACAGTTGTCCTCATTCCATAGGAGGGTGTGCTGTTGGCCAATCAGTAGCTCTACCTCGTTCGATGCGTCGATGATCTCCAGTTCGAACGGTTGAGGGGTCTGATCGATGGCCATCAAATTCTCCTCGTTGAACACTATTCCGTTCTGCCTGTACAAGGGAGTGGTGCAGAGATATTCCAACCAGGCTTTAACGGTGTGCTTCTTGACATAGCCGGAGAGATAGCTCGATTTATGGATCAAGTGTCTCTTGATGCACACATTGAACGCATAATCGTCATCCAGCTGGCGGGGAAGCTCATTCACCATCTGGACCACATCCACCGGAATATTTATTATTTGGCCAACAATAGCCATACTTCCAGCAGCATGACGCAAGCGTCGCAGCTGCATAAAGTTCAGCCTGGGTGAAACCAGTCGCTTCGCTATCGGATCCAGTGGTGGCAGATTTGGTGGAATGTCAGGATAGGTGAAGCCATTCGACTGCGACAGCGTAGGAATAGATCCACGTTTCAAGCTGCTTCGGTATGTAGCACAAGCCGAAAATCCGACCACACTCCCAAAGAAGTTGGTGGCCGACAGAACAGCAGCCTCGGCAGAAGTAATTGGCTTTAGATCACGAACGAACCAAAGCCTTAAACACACGTTGCAGGCATGTCCGAACTCATTATCCAAGAAACGCTTCTTGAATTCCCGATCAGCTCGGTCAAAGTTGGGTCCTCCTTGACTAGCGATCGAATTATCGTGAGGTTCACTGAACTCATGATCTTCGTCAGCTGTGGGGTGGACGGTGACGGAATATCGTTGATCGGGATTGCATCAACCTCCATAGCAGCAAAACCGTTGATTGACTCCGCTCGAACAGGTGGTGATGATGGAACCGGGGCAGCACGGGTGGTGTTGAATACTCCACGAAGAAAGCGTAGTGATTAGCTCATTAGAATAGTTCTCACCGAGACAATATTGACAAATGAAATTACACATTATTGACAGATCAAAAGCAATAGGATAAAACTTAGCATATTGACATTAGTATAAACAACAGAAAAATCTTAATTGTTATACAAGAATAAAATAGTTTCTTGAATTCTAAATAAAACCGTGTACAAATAATACTACGGCAAAATGTGTATTTTGAAAAATTTGATCGATAATAATATAAGATGTGATATAAACACACAGAGAGAATTGTTTGAAAGTCCGCGGTGGGTGGCGTGATGTTTTGAAATCGGGTGGGAAATGATAATGGTGGCGAAACCTGCTGCTGTCTCTGTTCGAGACATTTGACATTAGTCGAAGGATAAACCAAGATGAGTACATAAAGGTGTACCCATGTGTCAAATTCGCGAGTCGGCCATATTAGGCAGTTGATTGAGTTTGTTTACAAACAAACTTGAGTAGCTGGTTTGATTTTTCTTTTAAACGTAATAGAAACCATTATAGATCTACACAGGCGCACAAACCCAACTCCAACTGTCAAATAATGTGATGATTTGTATTATAACCAGATTGATGATTTGCATCTTTACTTGTTCCATCCTATGGCGATTATATACATATTGGCGATGTTGTATTTATTATGATAACCATTAATTGTTTGTTTCTAGTATGCTGCATGGTATTTCAGAATGACTTTATGTAAATTAAGTAATTTGATATGTACAGTTTGCAGTCAAAGATGCGGAAATACTTATGACGGTCGATGAATCAAACTCTGTCACTCACTAACATCAACAGGCCAGAGAACCACTGCCCGTGTGCAGTCAAACCGGTATCCACAACAGATTACCGGCAGGGTCTGAGAGTGGATCGGATTGAGGGAGCAAGATTGGTTTTCTTGTTGATGGCTACAGTGACGGCAGAATTTAATTCGGCAAACTTAACACTCGTTATATTATACTATAAGACATTATTCAACAGAAATAAGTTCGTGCTGAATAATGAATAATGTTCAATAAGCAAATACACCAAATATTTGCGCACAATTAATAGTACGGCAAAAATGTGGATGTCAAATAATATGTGATATAAACACAAAGAATTTATCAAAAATTCGAAGAAAATGTATTTAAGATTTCCTACCGCGAGTTGAAGGGCCTTCTCCAGCGTCCCAACCAGCAGCTGAAGACGTATCACCCCTGGCGGCTTTCTTGCTGGCCCGATAACTCAGCATTCGCTCGGCAGCAGTACGCTCAGCATTCGCTGCTCCTTCGTACGCTTACGAAAATTTTGTAAGTACTTTCTGTTCAAATTTTGAGACATGGTGACGCCTACGAACTCCACACTTCACTTTCACTCACTATTTTCACTAAATTGCACTTAGTATCACGGAACCACTTACTGACTTTTAGGAAAAGATACATTCTGACTAGATTTAACAAGTAAAATATGATGTCCGTGATAGGGAAGCGTCACCACCAAAATGATGAAACTACAGCAGTGTGAGCGTCCTGAAAAGGACGGTTTTGATTAATGATAGATTCACCGATCAAGCCGAAAGCAATGTATGCCTTCCAAGTTTACTAGAAAACACGATAAAATCAACTCTTTCGTGTGAATATTTGTGGTCGTCCTGAAAAACGTCCAGTCATAACCATAAGCCTAAGTTTGTTGTCAATAGAGCTTTTTAACGTTTAATCGGCGCACACTACTGCACCATTTAAATCGAACGAGTGCGAGCAAGAGGGAAACAGATTAGTGGGAAAACCAACCGTCAATTCATTGATGTGCGCTAGATAGAGAAAGACGATTAAACGTCGAAAAGGTCTATGTTTCCGGGACATTTTGATGATTGCATTGAACGTTAAGTAGATTGAACCTTCTAGAAATAAAGACGATGTCATTAGGGATAATAGTTCCTTGCCAAATTATGTTCGTATCTTGCCGTATAGGTACTATAGTAATAAGGAAAGATAAAGCCTTTTCTAACAGCAGAAAATTTCTGCTAAATACTTTGCTTGTACAGTTTGGCAAAAGATCATGCAACTACACCGAAAAAAATATACAAATCCACTTGACAGCTCGTTTGACATTGTTCATTTTTACAGCAATAACTTTGATTAAATTTTAATCAAAGTAATAAAAAAATATCTGCTTTCAACATATTTTTGCTGGTCAATTTTCAGCAAACAATTTTGCTGAAAGAAGATAATCATAATTTGTCGTGTAGCCTTAGTTATACACAGTGTAACACAGGAAAAATCCAGCATAGGTCTAAGGGTTCAGTTTTATGCCACAATCAAAGTATTTACTTGAGAAATTTGAAATTGATTTTCAACTATTTGCTGTTATTTTCTGAAACATTGAGCATTGTTTGAAATTCAATTGAATTGATCTAAACGTTTTTCAGCATCCTGTTTGGAGGTACATACATTTATAGCATTCACAATACAAATGTTCACTTTTAATGAAAGCAAATACACAGAGAAACTATTATTCTCACATATTTTAAAAATGTTAATGCCCCTGTAATTTTTTCAACAGCTACTATCGAAGGTTTTGTCACGAGAAGATGCTGCTTGTGTCTAATGAATGATGAAAGAGTGTGATATTGTAGGAATGATGCTGACCTCAGCCATTTTTGTTACTGGTGAGCTGATACCTTAACTATTTATCTTTAAAATTCCGATAACAGCTTATTTGATTATGCAAAGATAAATATCTTAATTAACATTTTTCTCAGGCGTTTTCATTAATTTCTTCTCTCGATTCCGGAAGTGCACGACGTATCTGGAACTACCACACCAAAATGTATGCAGAATATTGTCGGTACTGGATTAGTAGCGGTAACCAGCAGGACCTACGTTGATTTAAGCTTAACACCCGCAGATTGATGAACGCTCCATCACATCACTTTAACCTTTCACATTCCGGCAAGAAAGTCAATTCTTAAACACCTTTAAATTTTATGGTGGCCCTGAAAAGGGCCGGTTTTTTGTTCTGAGTCGATTATACTAAATTAACCTCCGAATCCGTACATAGTACGTCCCTGCCGCTTCAGAGCGTAAACGACATCCATGGCGGTGACAGTCTTCCTCTTCGCATGTTCGGTGTAAGTAACGGCGTCACGAATAAAGTTTTCCAGAAATACCTTCAGCACTCCTCTGGTTTCTTCGTAAATGAGACCGGAAATTCTCTTAACTCCACCACGACGAGCCAAACGACGAATTGCAGGTTTAGTGATGCGCTGGATGTTGTCACGCAACACTTTTCGGTGACGCTTGGCTCCTCCTTTGCCAAGTCCTTTTCCACCCTTGCCACGTCCAGTCATTTTCTAGTATGACAATTGTAACGTCGATGAAGGTTGAAACAAAAGTGAACAAAAATTTAAAATTTTGGCTGTTTTATACCTACTCGAGGGTTAAATTCTTTTGGTTAGTTGTTGTGTTCTTGTTCTTTCATCGTTTCTGATTGGTTGAACACAGCAAACGCATGTTATAAAACCAGCGTTACCAGTATTCCAGATTTATCTGGATTTTCCAGATTTTCGGTCATCCGGCCAGATACACAGACAGATCACGTATATTTCCAGATTTTTAAAATATGTTCCAGATTTTCCCAGATTTTTCAAACATGTTGCTTTAAAAATATCATTGCAATTGATTTATACTCTAATAAAAAAAATAAAAACTGCTTCTTTAATTATTAAAGGCCATCAACGTTGGAAGTTATTACAACATCGCACATGGAATTGTTATAACATGTTTGCATGTTAATGGGTTTCAAAATCATGAAAATGGAGCCATTTTCTAAAGATTATTCGCTGGAAAAAATCTTCAAACTATTAACAATAGTGGGCCTGAATGTTTGTTTAATTGGAATTTTTATTTATTTTCTAGTTAAAAAAAAAAAAACAAAATTTCAATATCGAGGAATCTTCATATTTTTTTAATTTAGATAAATCGAAAACTGTCAGGATTGAAAACAATAAATTCAGCCTTGGAAAATGAGCAAGGCTTTTGAATCTAGACAACCACCAGGACTTTGAAGTTTGTTTGTGAGATTTTTGAAGATAATTCATAAGGCAAATTTGAAAGGCAACTGATAATTTTTAGCATTTTTTTTAAAGAACCTGTGAATATCGATTTACAGTAGTCTGACTTTCTTTAGAATTCTGAATTGCCCCAGAATTTTAGGGTAATGTTGAAAATAGTTTACAGTGAAGTGTGAGGCAAATTCTTTGCAAAGCCAAAGGAGAATTTCAAGTTAATTCTGAGTAGAGTTCCATCCATCTTTGTATGCTTCGTGGTCGTGTGGTGTCACCCGTCCTTCAGGCGTATTGTAAGTGCCACGAAGTGAGGGTTCGATTCCCGCTCCAGCCAGTGGAACTTTTCGCAACCTGAAAATTTCCCTACTGGTCTACTGGGTGTGGTGTGTTGTCAGTTTTCTAGGGTAAAGTTTTCCGTCTGTGCAACCTCTGGTTGAAGACAGTGTCAGTTGTCTTTTGAAAACTCTGATGACAATTGCATGGAGATTTTGTGAAGAATGACAATAGTATTCGGAAGAGAAATAGAAGAAAGTTCTTATGATGAAACTTAAGGAGTATGCTGATACGAAAAGAATAATTTCAATGGAATTCTGTTCAAATTTTGAGAAATTTAATCGGATTTATGCTGGTAATTTCTGGGAGGAGAATAGTGTGACAGTCATTCTGAAGAGTGTGCCAAGGAAATTATTAAGAATATTCTAATGGAATTTCATAGAGAAAGATGAAAACAAAATTGAAAATTATTGCTAGTTTGAGGGAGTTGTGGAATCGGAGAGTGATTTATAAGAGATAACAAGAGAACTCTTAGAATGTTACTGGAAACGTTTGGATATTATCAAGATTATTTTAGGGGAATCCAGAATAGAAGTATAATGGAATTCTACGATGATTCAAATGGAACTCTGAAAAAAGACGAAGATATCCTGTAAAGAGTTCCATGTAAATTCAGACTAACAAAAAGTTTCATGATCTGGGACCCAGGAAATATGTAAATTCCATTTTCAGACTTTCATTTTAGTTATATAATAAAATGATTCGTAATGGTAATGCAAACAGTTGAGTTACCTGTAGTTTAGGTAAACTGTGTGTGAATACCACGATGTTAGGCTTTGATTTCCACTTGAGCCTTGTGAATTTTACTTTAAAATAAAAATACCTACTGCCTAATCATAGTAGATGTCAAGACTTAAATTGTAAGTTGGATCAACCTCAGGGTAATATTAGAATTATTTAGAACTATTAAAATCTTCAAGACATAAGGACTACATCGCCTGATTCTTTGCTTTTCATTCTTTCAAAAAAGGTACAGCTTAAAAAGCAATTCTAAAAATATTTTTAGCGGTATTTTACCAACGATTTAACTCAATTTTTGAAATGCTGCGTAATGGATATTCTAACTTTTTGGGCATACTGTGTCAATACTTTTCTTAACTTTTGAACGATTTAAGCAATGCTAACAAGTTATTTGTTTTTTATATAATTTATTTAAACATGTAATTCATAAACATTCTGATACTTTGAATAAATTCCAGATGATCATACTGACCGATTTTTACGGGAGATTGGCACATCACTTTGATTTCAATAGCATTATGTTAAAAACAGGATTTTTTGGAGCCTTCCAGATTTTTCCAGATTTTAAATTCTAACTGGTCCAGATATTTATGAAAATGACCTGGCAACGCTGTATAAAACAGAATGGATGTGATTTTTATTTTTTATTCCACAGTGTGCTTTCATTGCATACACATCACAACCAGCTCAGCAGACCGCTCGCAAGTCCACTGGAGGAAAGGCTCCTCGCAAGCAGCTGGCAACGAAGGCCGCTCGCTAGAGCGCTCCAGCCACCGGAGGAGTAAAGAAGCCCCATCGCTACCGGCCAGGCACCGTCGCCTTGCGTGAGATCCGTCGCTATCAGAAATCCACCGAACTGCCGATCCGAAAGTTGCCTTTCCAACGTCTGGTCCGTGAAATTGCCCAGGACTTCAAGACCGATCTGCGCTTCCAGAGCTCAGCTGTTATGGCTCTGCAGTAAGCTAGCGAGGCCTATCTGGTCGGTCTGTTCGAGGATACCAATCTGTGTGCCATCCACGCCAAGCGCGTCACTATCATGCCGAAGGACATCCAGCTGGCTCGTCGTATCTTGACAAAACCGGCCCTTTTCAGGGCCACCACAATAATTCAAAAGAGTTGAAGTGACCTTTCGTTCCGTTCTAGTCTAGTTTAAGTCTAGACTAACATTTGAAAAGGGCGGAACTTAAAAAAAACCATATCGAGAAAATCGCTTCCGAATTTTGATGACCTAAAAATTAATCCTATTTCACGACTTTCCATTTTCTGGATGATTTTATAAGCTTGACATATAGTTAATAGTGTAATCTATTATCATGCATAATTAAAACCTCAAATAAGTTTTCTTTGTCGTGAAATTGAGAAGAAAACATCATACGCTCTGATAATTTCATACATGTTGTTACCCCCCAGATCTTCCACACTTTGAACTGTCAAAACACTGGTGATACGCCATGGAAGTACACCATCGGGATTTTTTGTTTGTTGTTCCGCCTTGGTTCTTCGTTCGTAAATTTTGTGAGAGTGGAATTACGCCCGGAGATTGTTTTGGTCTTCTTTTTGTTCGTTGTTTACACGTGAAATATCAATCGGATGCGTTTCAAATGAATCGGGCGTGACTAGATACTACAGAATCAATACGTTTGGCATATTAAAACAATATAATTCGTTGTTCTGGTGCAAGGCGTAACAACCAATTGCATCGAGTTGAAAGTTGGAAATCCGCCATGTAAGAAGAAACGTTTTTGATGATATGAAGTGATATTTTCTTCTACTTTTTCGTGTTTATCGAGTAGTTTGTGAACTGTTCTCTCTATATGTGCCAAAATATGGTTTGTTTACATTTTGGCTCTTCCGCCCCTTTCAAATGTTAGTCTAGAAGTAACGAAGTAGAACGTGTGCGGGGGTTTGTTTTCGAGATTTTGAAAACAAACACAGCCGGGTCCGGTATATGATTTGGAAATGAATTTCACCTTATTTTCATGTAGCATCAAAGTGAAAAGGTCCACTAGAAAATAACATATGGTACTTTCTAAGTAAATTTTATTATGTTTTCAAGATTCTCGTTGTTAAGAATTTTAAAACTATTTTTCGAGATAAAATATGGCTCTGCTGAATCTTCGCAATTAGAAAAGTAATCGTTAAACTCTTTCTTGATAATGTTGTGGCCCTGAAAAGGGCCATTTTTCCAACGCGCTCGGCGTAGTTGCCCTTGCGGAGCAGACGGTGAATACGATCGACTGAGAACTGCAGCAGCTGGGCATTCCATGACGGCGGCCCAGTATACCGGAGCACTGGCACCAACGCACTCGGCGTAGTTGCCCTTTCGCCCCCAGGCTCTGCTGCCGCTGCTCTGCTGCCGTTGCTCTGCTTCCGCTGCTCTGGTACTGCTGCTCTGCTGCTCTGCTGCCCTGCTGCTGGGTCGACGATCGAATAGACAATGATGGAACGGGCGACTTTTGACTTTTTTTTTTTGACTTTAAATGATCTATATTTCTTGAATTTGTGTGCTTTACATATATAACTTATCAAGTGACACAGATGCGTCTTTTCAACTTTAGTTCTTGTGAAATTTCAATTATTATTAATTACAGTTCCTAGTCCTATCAGGCCTGCTTTAGAGAATGACCACCTTGGTGGGATTGGTTTGTTTAATATTTGAAAAAGGAGACTACTTAAAACTACTATTTACAACTACAACTAACCTACAACTACTATATACACCTAATCTACTATATACAATTTGCTTATCAAAGCATGTTCTGATAAATTACATTTTTGTGCAAATTTAGTCTTAATTTCGTTAATTCTGGAATCTATTTTGGCAATGCCTGCCTCTTCGTGTAAATTTGTTATTCTAGTGTCAAAAGGACGATCAAGTACCATCCTCAGCACTCTATTCTGAGCGACCTGGATTTTGTTCCTGTGAGTCTGTGCACATGATTCCCACACCGGAGCTGCGTAGAGGATCGCAGGTGCTATGATTTGTTTGTAGACGGCCAGTTTGTTCACCCTTGAGAGGCGGGATCTGCGGCAAATCAGCGGATACAGACTCCTAACCAAGGCGGAACACTTGACTACGGTTTTCTCCACATGCGAGCGGAATAGGAGCTTTTCGTCAAACAACATCCCGAGATAGGTTACTTCGGCGGACCACTCAACCCTTGTGCCATCCATGATTACAGTACAAGAGGGAGCCGGTTTCAGTTTGGGCGATTGCCGATGGAGGAACATGATCGCTTGTGTTTTGGAGGCATTGATTTTGATTTCCACGTGGTGGCATAATCAGCAAAGGCGTTAAGGCATCGTTGAAGTTTGTTCGTTATTTCGCGAGGCATCCTTCCTTTGACGGCTATTGCGGTATCATCTGCGAACAGGAAAAACACGCAACCGTCACCGAGGGGAGGAATGTCGGAAGTATAAATGCAAGGGGCCCAGCAGACTGCCTTGCGGGACTCCTGCTGGGATGGAAAACGTGTCTGAAAGACAACCATTCAACGATACCTTAAACGACCTTTGCTGGAGGTAGTTACGGGTGATTTTAACCAGATGTAAAGGAAAGTTGAAGTTACAAAGCTTGTCACAAGTCCATCATGCCAAACATTGTCAAACGCTTTCTCAACGTCTAACAAGGCCATGGCTGTGGACTTGTATACAGCTTTGTTACTTCGGATGTTATTCATCACCCGTACCAGCTGGTGATTGGTGGAGTGCCCCTTTCTGAACCGAAACTGTTCCGGATGTAGAATGTTATTTTCCTCGACAAACTTGAGCAAACGATTGAGAATGAGTTTCTCGAACAATTTGCTCAGCGCTGAAAGGAGGCTGATTGGTCTGTAGCTTGAAGACAATGTTGGATCCTTACCGGGTTTGCGGATTGGTATGATTTTTGCTATTTTCCAGATGCTTGGAAAGTAGTGCAGTTCCAAACATCTGTTGAAGATAGTGGTTAGAAGAGACTGCACTTTCATGCTGAGTCTCTTCAAGATCAAGTTAAATATACCGTCAAACCCGGGAGCCTTCATGTTCTTGGTGCATTTCAGCGCTGAGCAAATATGTTGTACTGTAATCATATCCGCCGGAGGCACGACACAAGGGGAGATATCTAGGTTTTGAACGCATTGCGCAACCTGATCATCGAGCGGACTTTGGATAGTCGAGCCAAGCAAATGCGATGAAGCGACATGCTTGCCGATCGCATGTGCTTTCTCCTGTGGGGTAATTAAAAGTCGATCGTCATCATTTTCGACTTTGAGAGGTGGAACGGGTTTGGGATGATTTTTCAGGACCTTGGCTACCTTCCAGAATGGTCTGGAGCGGTCGTCCAGATTCTGGACAACACGCCCGAAACTTTCATTTCGGAGTGAGTCCATTCTGGAAGCAATCTGCCTATTCAGATCGGCCATTTCACGTTTTTTGCCCAGATCTCCAGTCCTCTGAAACTGGCGTCTACGAACATTTCTCAACCGAATAAGTAATTGGGTGTGGGAATCAATAGCAACAAACTTACCCCTCACAGGAACTTGTCGAACACACGCCTCGTCAGCCACGGATATGGCCTGTTGGAGTCCTTCCAACGCCCGGTCGATGTCATCTACAGTGTCGAGCAGTGGATTTTCGTCGATGATGCTGTCCACCATTCGTCCGTACTGCACCCAGTTGACATGGTGGTAGTCTTTACGCAGGCAGCTTCTAGCAGGAACCACGTTGACACCGACTTCAGTCACCACCTGTTGGTGGTCGGAGCTGAGATCGTTGTGCGCCTCTGGCTTGGATAGTACGATGTTTGACAGGAAAAAGTCCAGGGTGGACGGATTTCCCGCCGGAGAGATAAAAGTTGGTTCGTCCGGAAACTGCACAGTGTACAGTCCATGTTGTGCGTGGTCGAACAATAGACATCCATTCCGGTTCCGCTGGTAGTTCCGCCAAGCTTCATGGCGGGCGTTCAGGTCGCCCCCAACGATGAATCGGGAGCTAGTACGGGTGATGGCGGTCAGGTCGTTCTTGAATTGAGTTCCTAGTCCATTGTTGGCGGTGCACTGGCGATGAACCGGACGTTTCCAGTTGGTGATTCCACCTCCACACTAACGGCCTCGATGATAGAAGTGCGAACGTGGGGCAGAGTGCAGAACTTGATTCCCTTTCTGACGATGACCGCTACACGACCCCCCTGGAGCTGGTGCGATCAAGCCGGATAATGTTGTGGTCAGGCAACCAGAAGCTGTCGCCGGACTTTAGATGGGTCTCGGTTAGAAGGCCCACGTCGATGCTGTGCAGGCGGAGGAAGTCGGCAAGCTCAATCTGTTTTGCTTTTACAGGGCAAGCGTTCCAGGTAGCGATGGTTAGCGGCTTAGACACCATACTGGATGATGAACTTACCGAGCACTTGGATCTGTTCGGGTTTATTGCGGCACTTACGAAGAGCACCGGACATGTTGACGAAAATTTCCATCAGTTCATCCGCTGAGAACAGATCGGGGTTGTTGTTTTGCGCTGGTGGTTGTCTCCAGAATCCAGGGGGGATGGAGAGCTTTGGCCAGTAGAATCACCAGAAGTTACTTGAGCGGAATGCACCCACGAATTCTCTTGCCGTTGCTGAGGAGCACGAAGAGGCGGGAAATCCTCCGTCCGAAATGCCGGGACTTTGTCCTTCTTGCGTCCTGGTTGGTTATTAGTTGTCGCCTGTTTTCGGATGCGTTTGAAGTCCTCGCGTTTGGAGCACAGTCTGTCGGAACCTTGGTGAGCACCACCACAGTTGGCGCATTTTAATTCCACGGCTCCATCCGCAGGGCAGTTGGAAGTGGCGTGTTCTTGAGCACAGTTGCTGCAGCGTGGCTTAATGTTGCAGTTGCGGGTGCCGTGTCCAAAGTTCAGACACCGTTGGCACTGAGTCACATCACGATGGCCGCCACGGTATGGCTCCCAGCGGACGATGATGGAATTGATGGAGCGGATGGCCTTCAGCGCGTTGAGCGTCACCGTTCCCTTCTGGAAGTGTAACAGGAAAAGGCTATCCGGATACGCCTTCACATTTTCGTCCTTCCTTGTCATCCGATAGACGGCACTTGGGGCCAGCTTGTACCGGTCTCTGATTTCAGCTTCGATAAACTTCGGGTCGAAGTTTGGTAGGCCCCTAATGACGACCTTGAATGGCTTCTCACCGGGAATGTCGTGGGTGAAGAATTCCACCTTGGAAGTCCTCAGGTGGGCGACGACCAAGTCATACTCCGCTTTGGTACGGAGCACCACCTTGGTGCCGACTCTGCCCAACTTGTATTCGGCTTTAACGCCCAGCGTCGCTAGATCTGCGATGAGCTCGTTAAGATGGGCATTTTTCACTACCAATGGAGGTAGCTTCACTTTTGCCGCACTCGGGCCGACAGAATTTTTGTTGCCGATGGCGTCGCCGAAATCACCGATGTCGCTGGCGTTCGTCGCAGTGACATCGGACTGGCCTCGATTCTTCTTTCTCTTCTTGCTGCGTTTTTCCAACACAGCTGGCTGGATATTCCCATCCATGGGGAGAACAGCAAACCTGTTCGAGGTAGGCACACCGGAGCTTCCTTCACCGGGGTTCTGGACCTTCGCCGAGCTTCGCGACCGATGGAACGGGCGACCTTGTTGGACGGTTATATAGTAGAACAGAAAATATCAGAGGTGTCAGATACTCGCATCTGATGTCTCGGTTGGAGAAAGTATAAGAATATAAAAAAATCAATCGATTTTCACCATATTTAGACAATGGTTTACTTTTAACCATTTTTCAATAGTTTACAGAATGAAATCAATAGTTTTGAAACATTCAGCAAATTGCTAGAAATATTTCCAATCGATTGATGCCATTATCTCGTAAATCTATCGAGAGACGGTTGAGTTATTATCGTTCAAAATCTTCTAATTTTTCGTAACTCATTCAAAATGACTGTTTTCAATTTTGTACCCCCGTATGTTGCCGAAAGACGTTATCCAACGTCAAAATGTCAGAGATGCCAATTTGAAAAAAATGTCACGATCCAAAATGGCCAAATTTTAGCAAAAATGTGAATGATTGCCCTATGGGACAATTATGCAATGTTTCATGCAAATCGGAGAAGGTCGAATTTTTCAGATTCTTCATTTGGCTTGGGACTGCTCTACAGCCTTTCAGTACTCCTGAGCTAGGAAAACAAGTTTATCAATTTGAATAAATTTTTCATCGAGTTTTAAATTGAATTCCTGTTATGCATCTAACGATAGCCTGCCGCTCTACATTGGGAAGCGATCCACAGATTGAGATTGATTTTTTCTGCATATATTAAAAATCATCTAATACCTGCGAGAGTGTAGTCGATCATACAATTACTATATAATTGCGCTGCTGGGCGGTACTCTGTTAAGCATCTCAACATTATTCTGACTGATCATCTTGAGCTATAAAAAAAAACCCGATCCCGTCCAGTGAAGTTCCTTATAAGTAAGTACACATACACTATACACACATTTAATTGAAGCAGCAAGTATCAATCAACAGCGCACACAATTTGTGGCTATGATTTCACCATCCGCAGTCCTGGAGTCGGATATGATCGTCATCGTCATCATCTTCGGCACAAGGGTGCGTAAGGGGTTCCGCAAATCCAGTTCGTCTTCAAATAGGCTGCTGCCCGTGCCGCTGCTGCTATCACAAACCGTTAAGAGCCATTGAGGAGAGCTCGCATCGAGCGAGTCCAGATTCAGCGGTCGTTGATAGTGGACGCGGTTCGCGCAGTCTTCCCAAAAAGCAGGACACTCGTTTTCCAGAGCTAACTTACTGACCAACTCGGACAAGAACTCGATCTCCGTTCGTGGCGTGTGTTTGAGATTTGGAAGAAAGTTTGGCCGTTATTTGTCATTTTCGCTAATTATCGGGATTAGCCCTGTCCGGGAGTTCCTACTAGTGACAACGGCAGCGCGGAAGAGGGGAAGTGACGAGCTCGTGGCTGCTAGCAAGATAGTGTAATTTGAGTGAAGGCACGATCACACGATCGTAAAGCGAAGAGAGGTTGTGCGAAGAAATCGTGGCAGGGAAAGAGAAGATTGGAGAACCGGTGGCGATTCGGATAGAGCGGTTGAGCAAAAGTAAAAGAGTCAACAACGCTGCACAGCGACAACGACGTCGGAAGAGAAAGAGGTGAGAGCTATCTTCGTGGACCAAAACAAACAAATATAGGCGTCTGGGGACAGTTTTAGACTGGTTCGATTTTGAACCGTTGGTTGAATTGATCCCAATTGGAAGTTCTGCTTCGGACCATTGAAATCAACTACACATTTTGAAGTCGATTTATTCTTTAAGCGATGATTGTTTACTATACAGGGTGTTTGGTTCCGGGTTTTACATATCTTCAGGGTAGATAGGGCTCCTAAAGTTATGAAAAAATCCCCATGAAACATGGGGTCGGAAATGACTGCCCAAGGTTCTGGATCGTATCACCTTAAAACAATTTCTATGTTCTGCCTCCCGCTTTTCATTCCCTAATAAACATGTACCATACACTAACGATATCATAGATGGTACGACCATACCACATAAAGATGGGATGATAACCCGAATTGGTGGTTAGGCCCTTCTTATGGTTATTGTTAATGCGGGTTAGTCAGCCAAAAGATCCCTTCAGACCGGTCGCGTTTGTCATAGTGGTCTTTGGTTTTTTGTTCATGATTCCGTTAAAAAAAATCTGGGACGTTGAACAGTTATCTGAAGTCTATGACTTGGAAAATTGGTAACTACACTGCAATGCTCATTTCTGTTTGTCAAACTTTGTAAACATATCAAACATAAAGAAATAAATTGCGTATTACTGAATTATAAGTGGCGATGGATGGCATTCACTAGCCCGAAAATAGCCTCCAGATGCTAGCCTCTTCACCAACCATACAACAGTACACACTTATCGAGTCAGTAATTTTTACCGAGTTTTTGAATTGCGGAACTCTTCGGTAAAATTTAAAAAATCTGTTGAAAATTCAAAGTTGAGAGTGTTACGAAAATTTACAGACTAACTTCTGTTAACCCCGTGTAATGAGGAAAAATAAAAACCAACGCCCACGCTGTTGGTTTGCGTGGGCGTTCTTCGGGTAGCGAGTAAAGGGCCCACAAACCATTTGTTTACAAATGGCTTTTGCGCCGTTTTCAAATGTTAGCACTGAAATGTTGAATAACTCACTTAGCAGTCATTTCCGACCCTATGTTTCATGGGGATTTTTACATAACTTTAGGAACCCTATCTGCCCTGAAAATATGTAAAACCCGGAACCAAACACCCTGTATATATATGAAATTCAGACCATTCAGTTTTCAATCCTAAAAATCATCTTAAAAAAAAAACCGCAAACTTCTCAAATTTTGATGAGCGATAAAAGATTTTGAAAACATCTTTTTATTCTGAATAAATTTTGAATTGACCTTAATATAATTTAAGCGAATGCAAAATGTTACCATCAGATTAACACCGCTTTCAATACAGCCAGTTCCTGCTTTTCATTATCGTTCGCTCGAGCAGATAGCAATTAAATGGATGCCACCTGTCAAAGCTTCGGTAGGCGGCGGCATCTCGCAACGAAGGGGAGAGAATTTCTCGAAAATGAAATAAATTTACTATCCACACCATCAGCGACTTAATGTGTGCGATGGCTTAATGGACGGTGGACTCCCATAATTGCTGGCTAACATCATTCGAGCTGGTCTCGGGTGAGAGTCGCCTTTAAGATGGAACGCTACACAGCATCACACAGTCAGCGGGAGAGGCGGGTCGAACGGGGCCGCTGCACAGTGGGACGACTCCATACAAAAACCGGTTGCAATGATTTTGAATGATTGAATAATGTTTTGCTCCTGAGTCATTTTTTTTAATAAGCTATATACAGTGTATCTCAAAATTGAGCGTGCACCTGAATAAGAAATTTTTTGAAAGACTGTGAGTAGATAGATTTTTGACTAGTCGTTGAACAACTATTTATTGATTTATCAGTATAGCTTTGGACTTTATTGGCAGAGTATGTGTGTAGTTTGAGTAATTTCAGTAAATCGGTCGATTTTCAACTTTTTTCATAGTAGGCGGATTTTAGAAAAAATAGCGGCATTTTAAAGATCATTATTATGGCTTCAGATTGGCAGAACAAATCCGGAGTGATTTGAGATTTGGGCGTAATTGCATTTGTAAACAAACACGTGAATCGCCGATTTATCGTGAATAAAAGCGAAATCTCGAAAAATAATAACACTATCACGTAGAGGAATGATTTCTCTATCATTTGGTATAGTCTGTTTACGAGATTCTGCTTTAATTCGCGATTGACGTGTTTGTTTACAAAAGCAATTACGCTAAAATCTCAAATCACTCCGGAAATTTCCATATGTTTGGCTCATTGTATTTCAAGAAAATGTGTGTTTTTAGGAAATCAAGTTTTACTAAAAATAGCTCTTACTTCTTTACACACTCATCCAAATAAGCCCACTACTATACCGATAACCAATAAATTGTTGATGAGCCGGCCTGCTTCGCTCCACTGTGCGCGGCGATGCTTAATGTTCGCGCGGAACATGATGACGAAAGTGAAATTCGGCGCAATGTGTGTTTATTTGCATTGTTAACCTTTCGAATGGATTTGGGTCCAGGGCATGAGGGGCGCACGGTGCTGCGCTGGTGACAGATCCGAATGGGCTACAGTTTGTTTATGAAATTTATAGTATTGTGTTGAATCACTTTGCTTCCGCTTGTTGGTCGGATCTAAAATTAGTAATTAGCGGATGGATTGATGTGCAAATTATTGGTAGTTTCTGTGGTTATTGAAATAACGGACCTGTGTTCACTCGGTTTGCAAGCGGCATTTTTCATGATGATTTTTCACTCAAATAAGAAGTTACAAGTTTTGTGGTTCAATGGGGATAGGTACATGAAACTTTATTAACTTTTTGAAGGTTGTTTTCTCCAAGGGGCAAGACAACTTGATACATTGGAAAATATCATCAAATAATTCTAAACATCATCGATCATGTTTAAGTATTTTCAAAAAACTAATACCTGTAAAAGATTTAACTTTATGTGCTTGTTCTACGGATACTTATGTTAATTCGTCTCAATCAAGAAAATGAAACTATAAAAAAGATTTTAAATATTAAGCCCAGGTGTCTTGGTTCTTCTTATTTTTTTTTCTCCTGAGCAGTTCCAAGCCGACTGACGAATCGATTTTATTTTTCCCTCTCCGAATTCCATGAAAATTTGCATAATTGTTCTCTAGGGGCAATGAACCAAGTTTGTGCCAGCATTGGGCCATTGACCTAAGCCTTATTTTTCAAAATTGCGTGTTCGATATTTTTCAATAAATCATAGCTCGAAAACGGCAATTTCCGAAATTCGGAACTTCCGATGAAAAAAAGTTCCTGAATTTTTTTAATGGCAGAAAAACTAATCAAGTTTACACAAGATCTCGACATTTCATGCATCAAATAATTGTTTTTTTTTTCTTCCGAAATCCCAGGAAGATGATTTGTGGATTGAAAATTGTTTCGAGTTAACACTGGATCTCGACCTTTCATGCATTTTAAGCCATTTGGCATCGAAAGTTAAGCAAAAATATTGTGTAAATTCCTTTTTTTTTAGTTCTTCCCAATCATATTTTACAAAAAGGTTTTGATATGAATATGAAAAATAACCCCTCTTTTTAGTTCCATTTAGTTCAAGCATTTAATTAGTAATTAACGTTTGAAAAGGGTGTATTTTATATAGAAAATCGTTAATATCGTGAGATATTTAGGAGATACACTGGAACCTCCATTTATGAACCAAACCGGGGGTTCGTAAATCGAATTAGTTCGTAAAAAACCTCGTTATTTGGGATTTACTTCGTAAAAGGAGGTTTTTGAAAATATTGTCTTATACCCCACAATATTGGTATTTTTGGAATCGGAATGACATATAGGAGCCAGAAATCCATGTCTGACGCCATTTTGAAATCCAAGATGGTGGCTTCCGGTTACAGAAAAACTTGGAAATTCTGTCAAATACTCCACAATATTGGTATTTCTTAAATCGGAGTGACATATAGGAGATGGAAATCCATGTCTGACGCCATTTTGAAATTTAAATGGCGGCTTTCGGATACAGAAAAACTTTGAAATTCTGCCAAATACCCCACAAAATGGGTATTTTTGGAATCGAAGTGACGTGTAGGGTCCGAAAATCGGTGTCTGACGCCATTTTTAAATCCAAGATGGCAGCTTCCGGTTCCAGAATAACTTTGAAATTCTTTTAAAATACCACACAATATTGGTATTTCTGGGATCAGAGTGACATAGGAGCCCGAAATCCATGCCTGACGCCATTTAAAATCAAAGATGGCGGCAGCAAGTTATAGAAAAACTTGGAAATTATGCCAAATACCCCACAAAATGGGTATTTTTGGAATCGGAGTGCCGTGTAGGATCCGAAAATCGACGTCTGATGCCATTTAAAATCAAAGATGGCGGCAGCAAGTTATAGAAAAACTTGGAAATTATGCCAAATACCCCACAAAATGGGTATTTTTGGAATCGGAGTGCCGTGTAGGATCCGAAAATCGACGTCTGATGCCATTTTTAAATCGAAGATGGCGGCTTTCGGTAACAGAAAAACTTGGAAATTCTGCCAAATACCCCACAAAATGGGTATTTTTAGAATCGGAGTGACGTGTAGGGTCAAAAAATCGACATCTGACGCCATTTTTAAATCCAATTTGGCGGCTTTCGGCTACAGAAAAACTTTGAAATTCTGCCAAATACCCCACCCACAAAAAGGGGATTGTTGAAATCGGAGGGACGTGTAGGGTCCGAAAATCGACGTCTGACGCCATTTTCAAATCCAAGATGGTGGCTTCTGGTTACAGAAAAACTTGGAAATACTGCCAAATACCCCACAAAAAGAGGATTGTTGAAATCGGAGGGACGTGTAGGGTCCAAAAATCGACGTCTGACGCCATTTTGAAATTTAAGATGGCGGCTTTCGGATACAGGAAAACTTTGAAATTCTGCCAAATACCCCACAAAATGGGTATTTTTGGAATCGGAGTGCCGTGTACGATCCGAAAATCGACGTCTGATGCCATTTTTAAATCGAAGATGGCGGCTTTCGGTAACAGAAAACTTGGAAATTCTGC